ATGTATGTATATATATATATCACAACAAATTAATTAAAACGGCATGATTTTGAACGGACACAATCCAACTAGTTTGGTATTCCAACACACCTCATCAATCCATCTGCGGATGTGCACGAGAATACGCTCGCGAGCATCGGTCAGCGCTGGAGGGTCATCCTTAGTTGAAAACATGAGATCTTCATGATGTCCGGCCTTGGGAATGATGATCGACACCTGCAATTGTTGATCACCCAATATTACTAACACATATTTGACGTAAAAATATATACTTCTATGCGCAAAGCTCAACTTGAGCTGTGCCTCGTTCTCTCACTAAGGACCTGGCTCTCGTGCTTTGAATTATCCAAGTAAGCGATTATGAGTAAGCTATTAAGAGTGCTATATATCTATACAATGTAAATTTTACAGAGCTACGTCTCGCATTGGAGAAGCAGAATTTCACATACCACTGTGTCAGTCACATCCTGAAGCACACCCTCAGCGATCCAAGGATCGAGTTCACCATTGGTAAAAATCTAATAATCAGCACGAAGGGAGTGTGTTTCTATACGTTAGTATCACTTCTAACCCAAGCAGGTCTTATACCTTTGTATCAACCGCAGCAGAGAAAAGAACCCCCTTAACAATGACAGGAATCGGCACCGATGCTGTTAAATCACGAAGTATGGCATATTGAAAAGTACATTCACATACCACATTAGAGGTGGCCCGCATCGCCTTTCGTCCGCCGTACTGTAGAGAATACAAAGCAACAGCATTAGTGTGGGGCTCAAACCAGTAGCACCATACCACTTGAGCTTGCAATATGCAAATCACGATAGGATCAGTTTACACAGAAACCGGCCAGAAAGTATATTTGTGCATAAGATGCGGTTCTGCGGCCAGCCATATCATGTCTGCGAAATGGTAAAACTAGTTCTTGTGAAAAAAAAAATCCCTTTGTCAAACCGGAATACCTTGATGCTTCCCACGTCGAATTTGGTGTGACTGCCGTATTGCTCCAGACAGTCCTTGCGCATGGCTTCGCGGTCGAAAGGAGCATTCCAAAACCTGTCGCAAATCGTCGAAGGGCATGATATCGAGTATTTGCGCCGGTCTGCTCTTATTTGCTTTGTATAAGTGAATACAGAAACCATAACATACAATCAAACGTTTTGAACACACACACACACACACACACATATATATATGCTCACAATATGTCATTTGTAGCAGAGGAAGGCAACTAACAGAGCTATACATGGCACAGTAACACATATCTAAGATCGACGTACATATCTCGGATGCCGTCTTGAGCGCTGGCGAGGATAACCTCTGAGCAAGCCAGGTAGTCCCAAGCACTGCCGCTGAACGCACCAGTATCCTTGGTGGAGAAACAGGTCTTATCACCAGTGTTATTGTAGTACATCTGAGTAAGACCAGTCATCAAGCCCTCGACAATCTCCATGTCTGCGAGTAATTCAAGACAAGGATATGAACAATGTGAGAAAAGCTCCGGAATACGCTATTATGTAATAACAAGCTTCGTATATTCAACACGGATGTGCCAAACCGATTTTCATTAGTTGCATGTCTATACTTGTATGAACCGCGGGCAATCACAATAAGATACATCACATTCAGTATCCATTGTCACAGAATGATGAAATAGATATCCATATCTAAGTCTAAGAAACACAATAAGTCCGAGGAACACAATGTACCACCACGCCGAACTTAACCAACTCACAATTGAACTGAAAGTATAGAAATGCAGTCAGCTGCGTTGTCAAGTTTGACACTCTCAATACGTACCGGTGCGTTCGCCCTCAACAAATCGGCATGCAGCAGCGACGGGATAGGCTGGAAGCATACCTTTACCATTTAGCAGGTAAGCGCTGGGATATGGGACTGTGAGGTTTTAAGGTATGGGACTGTGAGATTTATGCAGGAAATCAAGGTTGAATGGAATAAAGGATGAATCGAATAGAAAATGTGCGTATCATAAAACGCGTGACTGCGAGGGTGAGTGATGGTAAAGACTGATTGACATTAAAAAGTAAAGGATACAGAAACTTTACCAATATAACAACACAGTACTTCACGGATGCTACTACACTTGAAGTCTAATCAAAACTATTTGTTGATACCCAAAACCACACGGGGACAATTACGCGCTTTGATAGTCGCATAGTTTGCAAAGGCGTACACATAAAGAAATGAATGCTTGTATATCATAGTCGGAATGGCACCGCACGAACATACAGCTAGTGCAATGGTACATACAAAGTTGACAATAATAGTAATAGATGTAGAGTCCTAATAACCACAGCGACAGACGTGTGTGGCTATGTAGACAAGTACTTTTTGAATATACTGTGCTGGCACTTACATGAACCCATAGCAATGTTCACCACAGCGGCGGATACCCAGGTAGCCAGTGCTTTGGCATCTTCGAAAGTTTTGATCTCAGAGTCTTCGCAACGCTTGAAAAGATGTGTGAGTGTTGCACAACTTTCCTTTGAACCGCCCATCTCGAATATTTTGCGCCAGCCCCTGAATTGGTACGAAATAACTTCAAAATACGCATAATGTGGGAACTGCCCGGACCTACGAATAGTAACCTAAATTAGTTGATATCGAACTAGTTCTGAGCTCGACGGAAGGTATGCCAGACACACCTTTGCATGTTTACAGCACAGGAATCAGCAGCAAATCCTTTGGAAGTGGCGTCCAGAGTGACCACTCTATTAAATGCTTCATCATCAGGTTCAACAGTCTGTTATGTAATTTCACAATTTTTACTTATTTCGACAGGTCCTCACTGATATGCAATTCCTTGCCAACAAGTTGTAGTCCTTACTCCAGACGTACGGCTGGATATAAAATACAAACTTCACAAATTCTTCTCATATATATATATATATTTATATGTATGTATATATATGTGAATATATATATAGAAATAGAAATGTATCGATATATAAATGTACATATGCACACATACACACACACAAAGATGTATATAGATATATATAAATATATATATATTTATATATACATATGTCTATAAATACTTATGTACGAGTATATATATATATATATATATATATACATATATATATATATAACAAACACACACACACACACATA